GTGGCTGATACACCGGAAGGCTGTGCTGCCATTTAGCGAGACCTGGACAGGCTGGAAAGTTGGGCAGAGAGGAACCTGATGAAATTTAACAAAGGCAAGTTCAGGGTCCTGCACCTGAGGAGGAATAACATAACGCATCAATACAGGCTCAGGGCTGACCTGCTGGAAAGCAGCTCTGTGGAGAGGGACCTGGGAGTGTTGGTGGACGACAGTTGGACCATGAGCCGGCAGTGTGCCCTGGCTGCCAAGAAGACCAATAGGATCCTGGGGTGCATTAAGAAGAGTGTGGCCAGCAGGTCGAGGGAGGTTCTCTTCCCCCTCTACTCTGCCCTAGGGAGGCCCCATCTGGAGTACTGTGTCCTGTTCTGGGCTCCCCAGTTTAAGACAGATGAGGAGCTACTGAAGAGAGTGCAGCGGAGAGCTATGAAGATGATGAGGGGACTGGAGCATCTATCGTATGAGGAAAGGCTGAGGGAGCTGGGCTTGTTCAGCCTGAAGAAGAGAAGGCTGAGAGGGGATCTATAAATGCTTATAAATATCTTAAGGGTGGGTGACAGGAGGATGGGGCCACACTCTTTTCAGTGGTGCCCAGTGACAGGACAAGGGGCAATGGGCACAAGCTGAAGTATAGGAAGTTCCATCTGAACATGAGGAAGAACTTCTTCCCTCTGAGGGTGACAGAGCACTGGAACAGGTTGTCCAGGGAGATTGTGGAGTCTCCTTCTCTGGAGATATTCAAGACCTGCCTGGACGAGGTCCTGTGCAGCCTGCTGTAGGTGACCCTGCTTTGGCAGAGGGGTTGGACTAGATGATCTCCAGAGGTCCCTTCCAACCCCTACCATTCTCTGATTCTGTGATTCTGTAAAAAATGACCAGTTATGCAGATAAATGTTGACTATATGGTGAAGACTATCTCTTTTTTTGTGCTCTGAACTTTTTATTTCACCAGAAAATACACTTTCTATTCTCTTGAGGCAGGACTGATGCACCTTCCTGCTTCAGACAGATGCTGAAGGGAAATTTTAATGTTCCTTGTCTTTCTTATTCACTTTATTGGAAGTGATTAAAATTAAAGCATGTATTTCATTATTTTAAATCTATAAGCTGACTTTGAAAAGGCCTTTTATGTAAATTCAGTAAATAACTATATTACAGGTACACCTACTGTTTTATATGCATATATCCAGAGAACAGGTAATTATCATCAGAGTATCTCTAAGCGTTTGTATAGCTGAAGAAATCTAATTTATTATACTTAAAATATAAGTGACTTGTCAAGAAAATTCCTTATAATGGAAAGATCTTTCTGTGGGATAAATTGCTGACTTAAAAGGTGGTGGACTGATTTACAATATCTCATCTAGTTACACTGACTCATCTAGTGGATAAACCCTAATACACAGATACATGTTTAGAGGAATGTGCTTAAATTTATGTGAATGTGTAATTGACAATGATTCAGATTTTTCACAAAACCAAAATCAAATTAATTCAAACCTAGGCACTGTTCTCTCCAGCTGGCTTGAATCCCTTGCTACTTCTGCCTTCAAAGGGCTGGCTCTGAAGTTTAATTTTTCTTCTCTGAGGGGTGTGATGGGAATGTGTATTATGCCATTGGTTTCTTTGTGGACCACACTCTTATCTCTCACAGGCAACAAACAAGGAAATTATACTTCAGGGTTTATTTTTAATTGAATGCTGTAGTTGAATATTGGATTTTACATGGGTACTAAACAAAGACCAATGTTTTCTGTTGTAGTGTCACCTTAATTTTAAAACAGATGAAGTAAATACTACTTTTTTTACTGTTTAAAATGTAAACAGAAATAATTTAGTCCAATACATTTAAACTTATGCAAGTCATAGAATCATGGTATCATTTAGGTTGGAGGAGACCTTTAAGATCATCAAGTCCAACCATTAAGTCCTTTGCATTCACAAAATAGAAGAAGTGTACCATAGGCCCTGGTTTTGTTTATGATATCCTTTTTAGTTCTCATCAAACACACAATTAATAACTGACAATATACATCCAATATAAAAGGTCCTAGGAGTCTCAAGCAGAGAAACATTTCTCTGGGACATTCTAAGAAAGAGCGAGGGTTCTCATTTTGTTTCATTTTTTCTAGTGCCAATTCACTTCAATAAAAAGAAAAGAAGATATAGAGAGACTAAGATAAAGGAGGAAACTCTTTCTGGAGGTTTTTTAGGTAGAGAAGGACTGATGATCACTCACAGAATAGAGTTTTCCCCTTCATCCTTGTGGAAATCTTGCTAGATTACTACCACCCTGTGTGCTTGGGCTAAAAAACCCCAGCAGTTATTCTAAAAGGTGCTGTTCTCTGATAAATTCACAGAAAAATAACAGTGATAAAATATAATAATAATAATGTTATGGATTATCTTTACTTGCTTCTTTAATAAAGGGCTTTGAGATTTAGTGACAAAAAATTGCTAACTTGCCAAGATGACTGTTCCAGTCCATAAAACCAGTTCATAATGTATTTCTTTCCAGGTGCCAGTAAAGTAGGCTGTAATGGTGATTGGTACCACAACCATGCAGAACCCCTGTAGGAATGGACTTGAAGCTGATGATGCCATAATATTCATTGTTCACAACAGTCTTATCTAGTACTACTTTGAACTACAGGGGAAACCTATCCTTCCTTTATCTCCTCCTGCTCCTGCAAAGAACTCCATAAATTGAAAGCTGTTTTGAGTATCTTTGGTGCTTTTTCTATTCAAGGTCTTAGTCTCTTCTCATTTTACTTATATACTTCACAAAAGTGAATTACACTGATCTTGCATTTTGTTCCTGCTGAAATGCATGAGATCCAGTAACCTCAAAATGCTAATTATTGGTTCACCTCACATGAATAAATTAGGACCTAAACTAGTTTTGGTTCAATAAAAGAAGCCAAAACTTCTCACAGAACTGAAACCAGACTTGTACACTTTGTGTAGGTGACTGTGCAGTTTGTATATTTGTGAGAAGTAAAAAGACAAAAGTACCATGTCTCTTCATAGTAAATCTAACCTCACTTGTATATTAATGATATTAATGTGGGCTCTTATTACCATTACTCTCTAGGATGCTTCTAATATTGGTGAGCCAAATGCATATCGATACCTATCATTTTTGCAATTTTAAAAGTAAAGAAGCTAGTGTAAAGTTCAGTGGCAAGTGTACTTGAAGCCAACAGCCTAACTATCTCCTTATCACAAAAGTGTATGTGACCCCTGATTCAGCCTCATATTACAAGAAAAAGGTTTTAGCATTGCTTGTCTATGTACCACAGACATGACAACTCAAAAAACCATAACAGTTATTTAGAATAGAATAGAATAGAATAGAATAGAATAGAATAGAATAGAATAGAATAGAATAGAATAGAATAGAATAGAATAGAATAGAATAGAATAGAATATTTCAGTTGGAAGAGAGCTACAATGATTATCTAGTCCAATTGCCTGACAAATTCGGGGCTGAGCAAAAGTTAAAGCATGTTATTAAAGGCATTGTCCAAATGCCTCTTAAACTCTGACAGGCTTGGGGCATTGACTGCCTCATTAGGAAGTCAGTTCCAGTGTTTGGCCACCCTCTCAGTAAAGAAATGCTTCTTCATGTCCAGTCTAAACCTCCCCTGACACAGCTTTGAATCATTCCCATGCGTCCTATCACGGGATACCAAGGAGAAGAGATCAATACCTCCCTCTCCGCTTACTCAGGAAGCTGTAGAGAGCAATAAGGTTGCCCCTCAGCCTCCTTCCCTCCAAACTAGACAAACCCATAGTCCTTAGCCACTCCTTACAGGACATTCCTTCCAGAATTAGATTTCTACGGTACACATCACAGGAATAGGATGAGCCTTTCAGTCATGATGCCTGAACTAGTACCATGATATCCTCTGGCCTCTGCCTGAATTGAGTGTCTGGAGCTAAGCTGTAGAATAAGACAATATGTGTGTGGGTGGTTTTACTCGTGTGTGTATAGATATATTTATGGAAGAGTTCTTAAGGGTCTCATAAGAAACAACTTGCTATTTCTAAATACAATGTTTAGAACTATTGGTTAAATCTACCCTTGTTCATTAGCTGTTTTAACACCACACTAGTTCGCTTAATGACTTGTTACCTTTAAGGTGTGTTGTTCGAAGTATTGTTCCCTCTTTTTCTCCTATATCCTTCCCAGCTAGACTGTACTGTCCACGATGTGCAGTGGTGTTAACAGAAAAACTCTCAACGAATCATGAGAGCTTGGGAAGGGATTACAGCACAAGTGAACAGCTTGGACTCCAGTCCACAAATTTGTTGGGATAATCCATCAGATTCCATGGAAATAAAGTCAAAAGAACAGTGACAATTTGAACCAACTGAGATTCTGGCTCTTTATTTGGAATTAGGGGATAAACTGATGATATTTAGGTTTGATGTACAGGTGCCTATAGGTAGAAAATAATTTTTTTAAGAGACTGATAGGAAAGTTATCAAGAGATTGAGCTATACATGGATCAAAAGTCCTTTCCTTACCACTGGCGATTTAAAAGATTATCTATGCTAATGACATTTGACACAACAACTATGTTGGGAGAGAAAAAGAAATTGTGAATGTCCCAATTAGAATTCCAGAAACAAAAATGTGTAGCTATGTTTTTGTCACAGTAGAAGAAATGTTCAACCATACTTAAGAAGACCAGCTTGGATGAATGATTTTTATTAGGCAACAACATAAGCAAACCTCTAGCATTTTTCAACAGAAGTGTAAGTCCTCCAGTGGAATGGAAGTGCACATTTGTTGTTTTGTAATGTTTCTTACCACAGTTTTTCACTATGGATTTATGGCTGATGTCGAAAAATCAAGCAGAGTTCTTGATTCAAGTTAACATTTACAGCACTTAACGGAGGGGTAAAATAAATAATTAAATATCACAATGAATTAGTAGACATGGCAAGAAGGATTTGGGATGCAGTTGGTTTCTTAACCATGTCTTTCTGCTCACCTCCTTCAGGCTTGACTGGTCCGTCAGACATCACTTTCCTGAGGGCTAGTTGGCTTTGGTCTTTGTTGTCATTGGCTGGTGGAGGCAGATTGTCAGACTGAGTTCTTTGAATAGGGAGGACTCCTGCTATGCTGTGTCTGTGCTGCTTCCTGGCATGATTAGACTGACCGCTTTTATGTGCTGCTGTGGCAGTGTGGGTGAAATGGAAACCCAGAGTATGTATCCTCAGATGGAACCAGCTTAAATGTTATTCATGCAAACAGAAGTGTTTTTTTCTGTACTTAAATAAGTAGTGTTTTCAAACACCAAAGAGACACCACATGCACAGCATTAAAGAGTATTAAAACTGGCTGTTTCTTTATTAACGATGGCGAAGACAAGGGAAATAATTTTCCCCCAGTTTTTGTATTATACCATGATAAGTTTATGGCATATCAACAAATCCTGAAGACAAACACAATGATTCCACAGTCAGAGAGTTTTAAATTGCCATCAACTAAACCCTCAACTAGCAATTAGATACTGGTCTGATGTATCCTCTGGAGACCCATCCTTTTAAATTAAGGATTTTAATTTATTAATCTATTTAAGGTTGTCACATTAAATCTGTCTTGACCCTTAATCAATCCATGGGACAAAAAGTACTAGAAAAATTGAACTGACTATGGCACCTGACTTAGCTCTCAACTCTCTTTGACTTTGCTAACTTGATAACACTATTAAAATCTAATATTATTAATGGCTTTCTGTGTTTAATGATTTTGCATTTAATGTGTTTAATGTTTTTTTCTGCTGCTGTTCTGCTCATCACTAACATTTTATCTGAGATATTAAGAAGTTTGCCTTATATTTTCTTTCAACAAAAAATTAGATATTTACAGTTATGTTTCAAAAATAGAAATCTCAGCATTGTAGTTAAAAATCTTTTTTCTTTAACTTTAAATCTTCTTTTGTGTATATAGTACTGTCCTTCCTGATTACTACTTATAGATATATTTTGTTGTTAATGTGCTCAGTACTTGCTGTGTGCAACTTGATAAGCTGGCAGCCGCATCTCTGCAGGGTTTGATTATTTCATTGGTAGTTATCTAGTGACCTCAAAACACCACCACACAATGGAATTCTTTATGAGTCATGCACAGCCATAAAACATCATGGACAATGAGTGAAGGGACTGATGGAGAAACAGCCAGTTTCACTGCAGTCTATATAAATTAAAATAAATAATTAAAGACTTCTAAATACAAGAGTATATTGTAATTATATGTATTCACACACGGGCACACAAAGAAAGACATTGAACAGAGTGAGCACAGTGTGCCAAGAACAGAAAAAAAATAGCCAAAAAGGGAAGGACAGCAGGGAAAAAGGCAACAGATGAACATTAAGCTGCCATGCTGAGGAATTTATTTGCGTCTTTTACTTGGTTGAAGGCGAAGCTGTTGGACAGCTGCTTCAGCAGCGGCGATGGCTGCCCCAGCGTCTTCAAGGTGAGTTTGAGTGACGCTGGTTTTGCTTTGGCTGCGAGATGGACCGTGAGAGCGTAGATGTCCTTCAGAGGAAGATTTGGAGCTCCCTGGACTGCTGTGGGATTTCTCAATAGTGGGCACCTGCATGTCTAACAAGAAAATGAAGAAGCACAACTGTTGCATTTATTGAAAACAAACAATTTCATTTTCTTTCTCTTGACTGGCCTTTCTAGTTGTATTCCAGATCAAGGAATAAAGATTAAGCTGTGCAATGCCATCCAAAGTCTTGAGATACATAGTGATTAGGGAACTCTTATGAATCACTAACTTCCACTTCCTCACTGTTCCCTGGCCCAGGGAATAATTAATTTACTACTGGGTTTCTGTCACCTGTGAATTATGCCTCCAGTGCTGGTTCACATTGATGGAATGATGGGGTAACCTAAAGACTAATTTTTTATTTCCACTTTCATCTTTAGTGTGTAGAGACTAACTAGCATCACTTACACCAGTACTGAATACTTAGCTAGTGCAAGTAGTTTTATGCTGATGAATGCCCCAATCAAAACCACAGCCTAACTTACAATAGCTTCTATACTAACCTCTAATTTAGATACAGACCTTACATAGACACTGATCCATTGCAAAACATTACATAGAGAAATGGAGAGGAGATGGAGTAGAGTCCTATCACTCTGAGGCTTTCATCTGGATGCTATTTTAGATGGCTTTTGCTTTGATATGACACACCCTGTGTTTTAAGTGAGCAACTGGCCACTGACTACTCAGTACAAAAAAAAAAAGTAGAGAGAAATTTCATGGAGCAGGAGACACAGAGATCAATTCTGCTTTTGTAAACACTAGTATAATTCTACTATATGAGCTCCACCAATTTCCAATACAACTGAGATGTGCTATAACACTAGTATAATTCTACTATATGAGCTCCACCAATTTCCAATACAACTGAGATGTGCTATAGCCTGTTATCGTTGACTGGAAATGCATTTGCATTATTATAGCACAATTGTTATTCTATAAAATACTAATGTGACATTTCCAGAAGACAAAATGTGATTGATAGAATATGTAAGGAACATGAAAAATGGAAAGCTAAATATGTATTGTATTTGGCCAAGGCTATCCGAAAAATGAAAAGGGCACAGAATCTATAGTAGATGTGCACAGCACATAAAGCTTATAAGCTGCTGCTTTAAGGACACAGTTACTCAGTACTCTGGCTGGCACTGATCAAGTCAAATTAAGTCTTGGCTGCAATGAATTAATCACAGAGACAAATACATTGTTAATAAAGGTGTATACAAACTTCATAGCAGTAACTTTATTTTTCTGTTAGAACTTCCACATAGCAAAGGTTTTCCCATTACGTGGAAAAACGTTTCATCTCAGGTGCACCAAGTCATTCCTACCCTTGGAGGGGTCTGGGAAAATTCCATGACTTCTGCTCTTTATGACAGATGGTTTTGGAGATTGCTGGCTGCTCTGTCCAGAATGAGACTTCCCATGATCAATGTTTTCACTCTGTTCCTTCAGTGGGTACCACCGCGGAACGTTGTCAAGCTGAGAGACACTGGATAACTCAATCAATACCTATAAATAAACCAAAGTACAATACATGACCTGCATCTGATCTGTTAATGATAGCGTACAGCAGAAGTGTCTGCAGTTGTGTTACCAGAAGTTGCAATCAAACGTAAGAAATTAAGGGTACAAGGGTGTGTGCTGACAGATTCAGGATTCATTGCCCATGTTCTGACCTAGCCTGATATAAGCAAACTGTGATCCCAAACCCACATTTCTTAGCATATTGATGTGTCTGAACTACCATGACTTCTCAGCAGGACCTCAGTAAGGACTACAGCTTAGATGTAGCTCCATACCAAGATGTCCAGATAGTTTAAAGGATAACTTGTGAGCACCAGCTTGAAAGCTAGACTAAAAAGACATCTAGTCATTCTCCCTTTGTATAGACATGTCCTAATAGAAGTATTGTGCAGCGTTATTTTCTCCTTTTTGCCAGTGTTAGTAAAGAGGTAGATAATATGATATTTATTTTTTATAAGGTCCTCACCAATGTGAGATTGGTGTTTGCTGAGGCTTTTCAAAATTCCACATATACAGATTTTTTAACAAAAAGAAAAGAATAAGGACACCTTTGCACTTCACTAAAATATTAGAATTCAATAGACCATTTAGGCCTCAAAACTTCACTGCAAAAAGAAAGGGAGATGCAATGGCAATGTGGAAATGAAACGAGCAACTTGGCTGAACATAAACCCTCACTGTAGCTAAAATCTTCTCTGGGCTACCTGCATCGCTAGCAGGAGTTTTGTGAAATTACTTTAAAAAAAAAAAAAGTAAAAAAAAAAAAATTAACATTGGGACCAATAAAGACCCTTCCTCTCTTAATGGTCTTTCAGCTGAGAGTGCCAAGAGATGTAAAGTACTATAGAGTCATCACAGAATCTGGAATGAAGGACAAAAATAGCTTTGCATTTGGCTCTAAGGTGAGAGGGTTAAAACTAACGTCAGGTAGGAAAGTTTTAGAAATGCTGGACAAATAAGACGTGCAATTTCCTAAGGGAATGATGTCTTTGCCAGTTTATTGCAAGACCCTGAATAAAAGAAAGCCTCTTCAAGTTTGATTTTTCCTAGAAGTTTAAAAGCCTTTTTTCTTTCCTTTTTCCTTTCAGCTTCACAGGTTGCATATGACCTGGCTTGGTCTGTCTGGTTAGGTCTATACTTAATCTGAACAGATTAACTATTTATCATGCTCCCTGGGATTATTTAGCATGCTCCCTGGTGTAGTTGATGTTGGCCCTATTCAAGCAAGTCCTTGGGGCACAATTAGGATATTCCATATTTGGTGTTATGGTGTGGGATTCCTCAGGACATCCTGGTCCTCAAATACACCGGGTAGTCTTTTCCATTCCTTGTTTTCCATGAAGAGCTGTTTTCATATTTAGGTTTGAATAATTTAATAAATAAAATAGTTCCAGAGGTTGAAAATATTTGAAGGCAAAAGTTTTAATCTTCCTATAGAAGCAGCTGCTGGAGCATCCATTTTCTAAACGTCATAAATAACAATGATGTAAATATCCAGCAAAGCCCTGCATTTGGACAAACATCTGAAGTCAACAAGAATACTGATGCAGTATGCAGGAAACAAGTAATCATGTAGCTGCTTCCTATATATCTATTTCAGCAATTGTTCAAATAGTGACATTGATTGCTCAGTTTCGTAACTACACAAAGGGAAACTGGAGCTGAACTGAGTGCCTTTTTTGGGAAATTCAAATGCAGAATGAGCAGAGGTACTCTGAGCTACTCTGTATGTGAGTGATAGATTTTGCTGGGCCTGTTTCTAATTATAATTCTCTTTTGTAATAATATTTTTAATTACTCTTTTAACATCATATTTATTGCTGATAATTTGGTATTCTACGTGGATATGTTTATTTGTTTTTTAAAAGAGAGAGTATACTTCTTCCCATGACTACACATCTCATTTCTTATTAATTACAAGATTTTGCCTTCAGTCATACCTTAGTAAGGTTATTACTATTTTGTAGTGTTAAAAATTAGATCTTGATCTGCCAGACCAAATTACTCATGCTTGCAGGTACATGTGCATGTGCTAAATTATGGCTTGATGGCAGAATTTAATCCTTTAATCATTTATAAAGACTGATACCTCCTCAGCCTTCCCATGTTATGTTAAAATCAAGTCAGACAGCTTATCAGTCGTAATAAGAATTCCCCATTCAATCACTGTGAAGGCTGTTACTATCACAGGCTTAAAAAATATCTTAATTTTCAGTGAAGTAACTGGCAAGATGATGGAGCAGATCCTCCGCGAAACCATGCTAAGGCACATAGATAACGAGGACGTGACTGGGGACAGCCAACATGGCTTCACCAAGGGCAAATCATGCCTGACCAGCTTGATATCCTTCTATGATGGGGTTACAGCATTGGTGGAGAAAGGGTGGGCAACTGGCATCATCTACCTGGACTCGTGCAAGGCATTTGACACTGTCCCGCATGATGTCCTTGTCTCTAAATTGGAAGGACATGGATTTGACAGATGGACCACTCGTTGGATAAGGAACTGGCTCAATGGATGCACTCAAAGAGTTGCAGTCAATGGCTCGATGTCTAGGTGGATAGCAGTGACGAGTGGTGTGCCTCAGGGATCGGTACTGGGGCCGGTGCTGTTTAACATCTTTGTTGGTGACATGGACAGTGGGACTGAGTGCACCCTCAGCAAGTTTGCCGATGACACCAAGCTGTGTGGTGTGGTTGACCCTATCTGGAGTGCTGCGTCCAGCTCTGGAGCCCCCAGCATAAGAAGGACATGGATGTGTTGGAGCGGGTCCAGAGGAGGGCCACAAAGATGCTCAGAGGGCTGGAACACCTCTCCTACGAGGACAGGCTGAGAGAGCTGGGGCTGTTCAGCCTGAAGAAGAGAAGGCTCCAAGGTGACCTTATAGCAGCCTTCCAGTACTTGAAGGGGGACTACAGGATGGATGGAGGGGAACTTTTCACAAGGGTGTGTAGTGATAGAACAAGGGGGAACAGCTCTAAACTAAAAGAGGGCAGATTTAGATTAGATATTAGGAAGAAATTCTTCACCGTGAAGGTGGTGAAACACTGGCACAGGTTGCCCAGAGAAGCTGTGGATACTCCCTCCCTGGATGTGTTCAAGGCCAGGTTAGATGGAGCTCTGAGCAACCTGGTCTAGTGGAAGATGTCCCTGCTCATGGCAGCGGGGTTGGAACCAGGCGATCTTTAAGGTCCCTTCCAACCATTACCATTCTATGATTCTATGATTGTGTTGAGTCCTAAATGAGGTTACCCACAATTTGTCAAAATAAAGGAAAGGCATTTTTCATTTGTAAGCAAAAGAAATAAAGACCATTTGTTTTGAATCCAGCAGGAAAACTGTAATGTAACAAAGGTTTTACTTAACAGATGTACCATACCTTGGAAGCAAACAGTCTCCAAACACCAGCATGCAGTTAGTCAGCTTTCTAACTAGTCAGGGTTAGAGAGGATGAAATAAGATACTCACTTCACCAAGGAAGTCATTCGAGGAGAATCTATCATAGTCCCAGACAGTCACTTCCAGTGTTTTCTTTTTCAGCTGCAATTTAAGTCAAAGGATAATTAACCCCATTGCCATCATAAGCTTCAGATAAAGTCTTTATGGTGGTTTCTGTTCAGTATTTCCTCCTTGTACCCTTTTTCATAGTGATAGCTAGGCAGCTTTTGTCCTGCCATCAACCTTGATTTCAGAAAAAGAATTTGGGGCTATTAGTTATCAAGACAAATGGGCTTGTGCTTAGCCTTATTTTAGGAATTTCCTCAAGTTGTTTTGGACAGAATGTGTGTGCACTGTAAGAGCCAAACTGATTTTTAAAACGCTGTTTTTGTATTTCTGTAGCTTTTCACATCATCAGATCTGAGTTGTCTCAATTCAGACATTTGCCTAAAGTGCATCTGAGTGTGAATTTCAGATGTATTATTTAAAATACCTTACTTTCACAGTCTCATCTGTGAAGATCATGCTTCAATACCCTCACAATTCAGTGTAGCCAATGGGACTCCACAAGTGATCCAGACATGCAGGACTATTTGTACCATTAGGTACCAATGACAGCCATCAAACCCATTATCTGCAGATCTTGTTAAGCGTGATAGCTGTGTCAAGACCTCTTCCTACAGGTTACAATAAGAAACAAGTAAGTGTTTTTATACGACAAGATAGCACAAGACAGAAAAGCTGCTGAGCAAAGCAGTTGACCTTGTCGGACTGGGTGTGATTCCGGGGTCTATGGGACAAATTGATTACCGGTGTTGTGCGATGGGGCAAAAGGCTAACAGATGGCTGGAGAGGTAGTAATAACTTCATGTGGATTGAAAGGGAGAAGGACAAAATCCTGGGGGTATGGGATGTCTATGAAGTCAGGCTGAGAAACTGTAGATCAAGGATTTGCTGGACACTTCCAAGCATTACTAAGGAAAACAGGAGTCTTCACACGCTTGAGTAAAACAAGTCAGAACCAGAAATCTTATGCGATAATTAAGACCATCATCCTAACAGAAGCAACATGCCACTCACTGCTCTGGCTATTAATTGGCTGCTTGGGACAAAGGGACAAGTCACTGTTTGCTATTTACCTCCACGGTCCCTTGATTTAAAGCAACACCGATTCAGACAGTTTTTAATAACTTTAAATTGCCTTTAAACAATAAGCTAATCTCATTATTATGTATTCAGAATATTTTCTACTCCCAGCTAATTTTAGAAAAATGAGCAACTATGCAAAGCCAGTGTCTTTGAAAATCAAGTTTAAATCAGTGTATCCTGGAAAACGCACACAAAGGGGAATTGTACTATTTTTAGCATTCACAATGTACTCTTTAATCAGGCAATAACATGACTTCAAAGCTAAAGTTAAAAAAAAATATTTGAGAGTAATACTTTAGTGTCTCTGTTTTATTCCTACATAATTAGTCAACATTCTTCTTAAACATTCTTTTAAAAAATGTCCTGCAAAAATTTAGGAAAAGGTTGAATGAAAAGATTCTCTTTTGAACATCTCTTATAGAATATTTGTAAAGTTGATTTCCTTGACTGAATAAAACTACTTCTCTTTGCTGTTCCAAGACAGTATCGAAACTGCAACGTGAAAAATAACCTGAATAAAATTGTTGAGCAGCCACTGGTCCATGCTACTTTTAGCTTACTGGAAGATACAGTTTCCTGCTAGATACTATACAAAGCATATGCATTTTTGCCCTTTAAAAAAGAGGAATAGAATAAATACTTTTCAGAAATGTATTGTCTCAATTGTTGCTATGTTGGAAGGGCATGTTGTCTTCTTGTTTCAAGTGATGACGGTGCAAGGACAGGAAGAAGAAAGTATAGGTCCATGAGAGGAAAAAATCCCCAAGATTTGAAGGATTTTTGGTGGAAAGCAGAAAATAGAGAAGATTTTCAAGTAACTGGAACCCTGCTTTGCTGGCTTCTTTGCATTATTATGATAATAAAACTGTGTTGAAAACTTGCAGTGCTCTGGATTTCTTTGAGAAATCTATTTTAAGCCTCTTAGTTTAATAAAGCTTTTTTAAAATATTATGACAATGAAAAAACATCAAAAGAACTGTATTAGGCAGAGTGCATGAAATGATTTTCAAAGAGAAGGAAAATTTGCTTTTCTGAAGATACATTTATGTACCACTATTGAAGGCAAAGAACACTCAATGGCTAGTGATTTTAAAAGCAGCCATTATATCATCACAGCAAAGTAGGTTCTGCCGAATATCATCCAGTTTTAGGTCATGAAGCCAGAAGTTCAGATCCCCATCAGGAATTTAACTGACAGCAATACTGAAATGAGTTGCAGAAACCCACCATCCATCTGACTGGGTTTCTGCAAGTGGGCAATGCACTAACAAGAAAATGAAAAAGTGTCCCTAAAAGGAGGAAAGTTGTTTGGTCCAGCTGACCTCATACATGTTGTGAATCTCATCTGAGTTCAGAGCATGTTATGAAAACAGTGTTACTAAGCCGTAACTAATTTCAGGCTTTGCCTTGTGGAAAAATAAAAAATAAATAAACAAACAAATAAATAAATAAAAAACCCTGATAAAAACCACCTAAAGTCATATTACTGCATGTGAACTTTAGTTAGCTTTAGGCTGCTGTGGACTACCATAATTTGAAGAAAATGAAGGAATATACAGGAACAGCCAATGCGGAGAATACTTTATCTTATAGAAGACATAACCAACACCACATGTACAGAATTGTCTCTTTCTTGTTTTAAATATCTGGAGATCACTGGGTGTTGTTACGCATAATGCAGGTCTGTGTAACTAGATATGCATTACTTGAAATATTTAATACATATTTCTTGAAAATCTCATGTAATTCATGACTAGAGAAAAGAAATAATTTTCATAAAATTTTGGTTTTCTCCTGTGCTGAAATTAAATTCTTATAATTAATTCAGAAAAAATATAAAAATTGCAGTCTCAGTCAGGATATTTGATGAGTAGAAGTGAAGGTGTTGTATTAGATCATACATTATACTTCTGTGTGTTTGCATTCATATTTAACATTTTATTGTATTCTTCTCCACATTGTACTTGAGTATGCGGGAGGACAAAAAGACTTCTGCTAGATCACTTGGAAACTTACTTTCTCTTGTCCAAGATATTAAGTAAGATTTAGGTACCAACACCTTACTGATTTATAAGAAAGCTTTTCTTACTTTTGGAAATAAGACATAGGTTCCTACTTCACTCAAGGATTTTGAAAATATTCCTATTTTTAAATATACTACCTTCAATTTAAGGACGCGAGCTATAGCAAGAACTATTTGCTTTAATTATGTACAACCATCATTTAAGGAAATACATTTATCTGCTTTCTGACAAGTAAGAAATGGAGGCAAAGCAAGCCACACCTCCTATTGTGGTCATGCTTTACAGCAATGGCCTGACCAGCAACAGAAATTACATCTTTTACCATCTTCTCCTTAAATCATTCTCATGCTGTCTTTCATGCTCTGAGTAGGTATTTGACTTGAGTTAGCAACTAATATACAATATTTGTAATGTGTGCACTTGGCCTTCCTCTCAAACTTTAATTTTCTTCACTTTATTGCTTAACAAAAAGCTTAAATTACTAAATATTCACAGTTTAATTTTTTTTTCATCAGCTGTATAAGTAGTAGAATTTGCTGTGTGATAAAACTAATCATTCTGACCTTGAAAAAGTCTGTTTTATTTCAAAGAGTGATCTATTCCCATAATTATTTTCACTTTAATTTCAGCTAGGTTATGAAAGAGAAGAGGAAAATGGAAAATTGTACAACCAGCTAAAGTCTAGACAGTGACATTGAAAGAACTACATTAGGAAATATTTAATAATGCTTATTTGCAGTCAGAAAGCAACACATGCTTTGATGGAGGGAAAGGAAATGCTCCTTTGAAAAAATAATGTTTACAAAGATTCATGAATATATGTTAGGTTACAACTGCTAACTCTATAACTTAGTATATGATGCAGTTTACTGTCTGGTCATCAGAACATTCACTCTAAGTCTACCACAAATATTGTTTTGTACTTCACGTTCCTAACTGTTTTGAAATATCCATCCATGAGAGTTATGAGAGCAAACAATATGCTGTTGCATAGTGATAGTTTTTCAAAGTGTAGAGGGTACTTACCATTGGCATATACTTATTTGGTGATTTAGAAATGTGCTTTACTGTATATTCTTTAAGTCAGGCACTGAATTTTATAGGAGAAGAATCACTCACATAAATATCTTATCACGAGATACAAGCCATTGAAAGGTCTGGAAGGGAACACTATTCCCTGCACATATTTCTATGTGACAAGAGGATAAAATATACAACATATGTGGTGCTCAGACAAAGCTTACACACTGCTAATCATAAGCACTGCATAACAGTCTCAGAGGAAGGGAAAAAGCAGTAGATTTGCAAATAGAATGCAAAGGTTCAAAGAATTCAGTATGTGACCTAAAGGAAAATTACATCAAATAATGTTCAGAAAACTGACATCAAAGATACCAGATTTTCTGACATAAAAATCTCTGTTCAAGAAATCCCAGACTAAGATCACAAACCAATTTAAAATCACCAGCCATTGAATGTCCAATGCCCAAGCACTCTTAATTACAGCTCTGCGAAATGTCACAGCAGAACCTGAAAGCAAATTAACTGAAGAGTCTTTCTTAAATGGAAAGCACTGTTTGGAAATATTGCGAAGACTTACCAAACCTTTTCACAATGCCCAGAAGACCCAGGGTTTACACTGCAGCTAGACAAACATCACAGGGGTTTTTTTCTGACACCTGCACTGTCATTGAGCTACCATTTATGCAAACCTACACGAAACAGCATGCAAAACCCAGCAAACTGTAACCTCTACATACAACAGGGTACCTCTGAAGTAAATCTGAGCTACTGCCTGTTAAATAAATATATGTATACTATGTGAGCAACCATGTAAGTCCTTCTGTAGGAAGGACTTTTGCTCCATGCAAAAATTACTATCTTAATCTATGATCCTCCCAATGAACAAGAAGAACGAATAATCAAATTTTAAGTTAGGAAGATAATATTGAGGTCTTGATGTTGTATTGGAGAATTATATTAAAAGCTTTGGGAAATCTAATCACTAAAGAATCTGATTATTCTGGGCTTTTTTAAGAAGTACTAAAAGATTAGGTGGCCTTGAAAAATGAAGCTGAAAGTATCAAGAACAAAACACCAAGAAAGGCAAAAAGATTTAGGATTGCATACAGATCCATTATTCTATAAAATATACTTCATAATTTTAACAACTGGACTGATCATCGTTTGGCTCATTATGCCTCTTTCAGATGGTAAAAAAAGTCCCTTTAAAAGGGGAGATGAAGAAAAAGAGGACCCAATTACTTCATACTGCCTCAGTTAACCCTGTTTTTCAGTTCAAGTTAGGAAGCCACCAAGTAACAGAGAAGAATTCCACAGACTTCTTTCCCAGATGTGAGTTAAATCTTTATATATCAAGGAAATGAAATATCTTCTAAATGTTTTTCAGGTGATTCATATTTCAAGCCTGTTGCTGGTAAAACAAAAAATGTATCTCTACATTTGATAAATATTTTTGAATAAGAAAATTGTAGGACGTGTTCTGTGTGAGCTTGCATGACTTTTGGAACAAAGAGTGACAGTGGTTTCTGCATTTACTTCAGAAACTTGTTTTAATTTATTGCCTCCCTGGATCCAATTATCATTTTTTAAATTGCCACATCTGTATTTACGATATGATTACGAGTCTCATCCCCACAAATTACCATTTTTATGAGTAGAAGGGACAAGAAAAGAGTATTGATAAAGTAACCTCTACCAGAGGTAAGGAAATAGTTCCAAATTTCACCGAAATTTGGCAAGATTTTATGGGGGTTGACAGAACTGCCAGTAGCACTGCTCCCTTCATAGTAAGCACTGCAGATCACACAAATAACAAAGCAGCAAATTACACTGAACAGTACTACCAGTCACGCACCTGCTCCACAGAGATATTTTTATAAATGACCGTCTGATTCCACTCAGGATTCAAGCTTTTCTGTACATACTTAGTTCTCCGCTTGTACTCAGCGCTGAATTTGAACAAAGGAAGGAAACATTACATTAACAATCTTTTGTTTCTTTCAGTTCTAGTGCAAAAAGTCACCCACAAATCAAAAAGCAGAAAAACAATGGAACTGCATCCCTTATTTCTGCAACAGCTGAGGGTTACAAGAGGACAATGACAGCCTTTGGGTTTTTTTCATTAGTATGCTTTCCTGACATGGTCTTTTAAAACATCTTCTGGCTCTTCAGCAGGCTAGCTCTGCCTACAACCATTTCAACATAAAGCATCAGTCAGCACATGCATATATGCTTTGTTCCCTCATTGTTGATGTTGGACTCTGATTATAAATTGAAGTGATAATGCATTGATTTCTTTTCCAATATCATCGTCCTATTAGCACTTTAAAGTATCATGAATCCATTATAGTTATAGGTTACAGTCTCTAATTGCAGGAGTCCCGTCTCACTAGAACTTTTAATGAATGTCATGGGGTAAATAATATCCTGCTAATGTTAGAAACACTAATTTCTTATCCATCCTGTTCTCTGCCTATACCTCTAACTGTACTGGAAACAAATATAAAAGTGCACCAAGCTCATGATTGTTTCTATCAATAGTCAAGAATATAAAGTTTGACTGCATAATCTATTTTTAAAAACAATCAGTAGTGCTTTCTATTGTGCTTTGCATTTCCTGAGTATGCAGAAAGTAATACACTAATGTTTAACAGAATATGGGTTCATCAAGTTTTTTGAGCTTTGATGTCATATTTTCTTCCATTCTAATTTTAATTTCATATCAGTTTTAATGAACATCTCAAAAGAAACGGGGAGGAGAACATGAGAAGCTTTTAATACTTTGAAAATCCAAGAAGATATTGAGTAAATACCGTCTTTTTGCTAGTCTGCAAGTCAACTTCCCTTTGTCTCCTGTTCAGACCTCCCATACATTAAAGGGCTTACGTGTTCTATCTATTCCTAAATCAAATGTGCCCAGGACTGTTCTCCAGCACTAAGGCCAAATGCCACAGAATGACCTGTATCTGCCCTATTAAATGGTCTTATGGTTCTTGCACATTAATTTTTGGTAGAGTGCTGTTCTCCTGATTCTCATTTCTGACTATTGATTGAACCGTGCTTTGGTTCACAGTGTGGCATGGTCTGAGTGCTAATGAACTAGATTCCTTTCATATGAGATTAACTCAGAAGATGAACTCCAGGGGCTCATTTAATCAGCTAGTCACTAATGCTGTAGCATGCACGGTACCGAATTGGAGCGGGTCTGGATTAAGGTTATGTGAAAGATGCATGCATTTTACTGACGCATATATGCCAATGTCAGGTGTTCAGCACCAGCAGTTTCACTCTACAAACTCAATTCTACTGCACAATGCTCTCCTCTAAATATTCTGGAATGTGTAGTGACCTTTTCCTGCAAAAGGGGATGGCCATACTCAAGTTGCCTACTACATTGGTATCGTTTAATGAAAGGGACTTGCAGTTATTCTTGCTCTTAAGTTTTCCTCTAGTGATTCTATGCAGTTCCATTTATTTTCTTGCAAAACATGCTATCCACTGTCTTCCATTTTATCAAAAAATGTGAAGGGCATTGGGACCCATGAAACAAAATATCTATCCACTTCTGCTATGATAAGAAAGCAGCAACTCCCACAGTTCAATCACTTCTGTCAGGCACAGCATACAATGGTATATTATTGATAAAAAAAATGAGGCTTCCTTTTTCTTGTACGTCAGTAACAAAAGGATGAATTAAAATCTAGGGGGACCAAGACCATATAAAAAGAAACTCACACAAAGTTATTTCTTTGCATCTCTTGGAAGGAAAGCTGAAATACAAAATCTGAATCCTTTTGGAAACCAGATTTTGATGGCAAATCCTATTAATTAATGCACTTAATTTTTTTAAGCACCTCGGTAGCCTTATTTTCCCACTTTCTGATCTGTGAAAAGAATCCTATCATCCAAAGTATTAATGAGATTTGACTGAACCGTATGGAGACATGGGACACTGGCAAGTGACAGCTGGGCTGGCAGCACCTCTCTCTCTCTAGGCTCCAGGTACTCCTCAAATTGTCTGTTCTGATGAACTATTAATGACATATTAACTTATCCAAACTTGTCCTACACCCAGAATAACTCATTTACTTCTTACCTTAACTAAGTCGAGGTAGTATTACTTGGGTCTGTCTAAATGTCATATAATCTATAGGTTTTGAGGAACTGATATACTTTCATCTTTTTGAACAAAGCAGGAAAGGATCCTTTGTGCACTGAACCAAGAAAATTACACCAAGACATTCTCTTGCCTCTCCTGGATTTCCTTTTGCAATATTACAGCTTCGTCAGCTTGTCAAAATTTCTGATTCTTTTCAGATATATGTGAGAAGGTGATTCATGCAGTGTGGAGTTTCAGAGCTGGCAGTGGCAAATGTAACTGTTGTTACTGTGGTAACTCTGGAGTATTTCCACCTGAAGTCCATAGAGTATCTGGATCTAAAGTGGCAAGGGTGGCATTAGCCCCCATTCATGTACCCTATGGTCTGGATCTGTTGCAGAGGGAAGCAGAAGACCTTGAGCACTTCTAAGGAGGCACAGACAGCTGAAGCTGGATGGCAGCTGGTTTCTAGACCTCTGAAGGGAAAGATCTGGCGAATACATGAAATTCATATAATCAATGCACCTTCCCCCCAACAGCTGTGATTAACAGATGGAGATGCTTTAATAAAATGCATTCATTAATCCAGTCTATACCTAGCATGAAATAAATTGCACTTCAAATTCACAGACTATGTTGTGTGAAAAAATACGAACTGCATTACTCTTTTCTTTATCATTTCTCTATGCTTCCCTAATTATAGTTTATTAATACAGAATACAATTACAAGTACAATGAAAAAAGTAGAATAGAATAACTGCATATAAAATGTGGCATTGAAACACATTCATTAATTAATTTCATTAATGAAGAAATAGGCTGATGACAGAGAAGATCTGTTTAGTAAAATTTATCTGTTGACTTGCTTGGTCAGGTTTCTAGTTTTAAATAAGTTTAGAATTAGGGCTGAATTATTCTTATGCACAGCAGTTATTACATACTTAGCCTGGGCGGATATTAGCATATCTTGAGAATGGAGTTTATCTTATGTTTCCAATTCCAGGAAGCACTAGCAATTTTAATAACTAGAAAGTCAGCTTTGTTTGCCACAAATAGCCGTTTATCTGGTCAAGCAGCTTTAAAGCCAGCTGGGCAATTATCTAGAATTCTGTCTGGCTTTAATGTCTATACACTGTGCAAGGTGTAGAGAAAAATATTTCATTTCACTTCTAAACAGCGCATGTTTCTTGGAAGTAACATCAATCAAAATTTTGATACAAGTTCACAGTTAATTATTTTGCAGCTTTCTATGAGTGAGAATGAATTTGTAGACATCTCTGAACTAAATTCTTCCAAATTTCAAAAGAAATTATGATTATCATCAGAGTTTGGCCTAGAGTCTTACTGCATTGAGGAATATTATATGTTTATATTGTTTCTGGTTTCTTCTGGCCTTGAAATGGGATTTATTAAAGAATGAACAGCAAAACCATGCTGCAATTGTGTATCATCAAAACTCCAGAAAAATCTATGGTTCAATGCACAGATTTATCATAATACCATGCACACATACAAAAAGGAAAGAATAAAATGGAAGATAGGACACCCTACCTTGCATTTTGGACAACCATAACTTGTCTGCATACCCAGCATTTACAGAGTTAGGAACATAGAGGAAGCAGCGTGAGAGAAAATGAGAACAGAGATGAAAGAAAACATGTGAATAATGGGTAGTTTCCAATATCAGAATCAAAGGAAATAGAGGCAATTAGATGAATAAGAAATCTAGCATGGACTGAACTACATATAAAAGATATTCAGTAGCAATTCATGTTTCTGCTTTTAGAAACAAGTTTGGCACTTTTGAGGAGCTCTTCATTTTCATTATTCCCTAAAAAGCCCCAAGTTTCACGCAAAACCGTAACATTGCCATATTTTAAAATTATGAACTCAAACAGAACTAAAATCCAAATTCTTCCTAGCTTGGCCACAATTTTAAACCTGTACTTGGATCTGGGGTAGACCTCTGCCAGGTTCACATCTCTCTAGTTCAAAGCCTTATTTCTACATCAGTGGATGTATCTGCAAAATTCTGATAAGATTGATTTGACAAGTATTTTACAAGACTCTTAGGTGCATTAAAAAACCCCTCAAGATTTAGGATCTGTTCCCATTATATTCAGTAATAGCTTTGGGTCCAGTGCCAGTGAACAATCTTGAATGTTGTATAGCTAGAATTAGCAAACTACAAAAGAATACGCTTGCTTTTAGTTGTACCATTCATGTGTTTTTAGTGGTACTTGTCCACGTGCCAAATGCTGAACTGTGACCTGAGCATCCACTTTCCTGTTGCTTTGAATAGAACAGAAACACAGATTTTAAGTTGCTTGGTCCTAGACTAAGAGTCTTTTAGGGTGAATGTTATTACACAAGCAGGGAAGTTTGCAGGAACTTTCTTTGCAATTTAAGGTCTGATCCATCAGCTTTAGATCTATTATTGTGTCACTGAAGTCAGCAGATTTATTATAACCATGTATATTTTTGCATTCATATGGCATTCTGCAACTTAAGGGCAAAAAAAGAGTTACAGTATTGCTGATACAGAAGCTTATTTTTTAAAGGAAACACTAATGAGCTATTTGTAATTGCAGAGTCTAAAAAAGCAATGGTCTGTGAAAAAGTGATTAGTGATTTATATAGTCATAAGATACAAAATTACCAGAATTTCTAAAATCACGTGTTAGCTCTTCAGAAAAAACTCATAAAAAATCACACAGAATGAATGTTTTCTATCTAGTATTTATCAAGTTCGATATTATACTGCAACCTTAAATTTGTCTCAGACGCTATAATTCTCTGTGTTTGCAAATCTGTCCCAAATTCGTCTTGAGCTGAAGCAACAATTCCATTCTAACCTTAACATGTAGCTTTCTGTATTACAGAAAGTATTATGTGTATTTAGTACATTTCAGCAGTCCGTTGTTCGTTTAACACATATTATTACGTGTATTAGAATTTTATATGGAAATATGAACAAAAAACTTAATCTGTAAGAAAGATCACGAAGTCCCTGCGGTCATTAGCAAAGTACACACAGCCTCCTGGGAATAGGATCTGGCTCTCTATTAAGATTCCATCATTTGTCCTGGTGTTGTATCTGGATTTTCTACAGCAGTAACTCTCAGTTCTGCTTATTAGTGACAAGTAATAAACCCAAATAAAAGAAAGTTCAGGTTAAAATTTCTCCTACACTTACCCTCTCCCTGGAAGAAGATAAACTTTAACAAAGGGGTCAGAATAGCCATTGTTGTCTCTGGGAACAAGGTTTCTTGCCTGAAGGATGTGGATGATAAGATTGCCAAGGTGTTTGTCATAGTTGATTTGAAGCTAGGGAATGCATTAAAATACAGTAAGATTATTTGTTCTTTTTACTTCATAAATTATTCAATACCTCTCCAAAATCCTTTGAAAAAAATGATTTTAGATGTTTACTTTGGCTTTCAAAGTCTGTCAGTACTAGTTTAAAAAAAAAAAAAAAAAAAAAAAAATTTACTATTCCAGTCAGGAAAAAGAAGCTGAAATTTGAACCCTTGATACTATTCTGAGCAATAGCCATCTTATTGGGTAGGAATTACACAAATTCTGACTATCTGGAGCCGAAGCCTGGGAAGGATGTTATAATACTATGGAAAGACCCTTAGTAATAGTATAAGAGAGAGGGATGAATTAAGGAAACAAAAGACAGAAATCTATAGGAAATTAGGCTCTATTTATTCTGCTGCTCCCATTTCCATTGTTTCTATAAGCCAGAGTGAAAAACTAGAGTAAAAGACTAGAGAACAAAAAACTTGGCATTGCATAGAAATAAATCCACTGCACTATGAGAAACCCACAGTAGTCTTTGCTTAAATGTAAAGAGTCTGGGAATTTCTGAAGTAAAGCACAATAAATGTCCAAAGATTAAAGATTAAAAATAATTTCACTACATTTTTAGTCCTTTCAGGAACAGCAGCATTTTCGGTTCTTTTGTTTGTATTTCACAAGTCAGCTTTAAAAACAGAGGTGAAAATCTAGCACTGAATTGCGTTTCAAGGTGTTTAGCTGAAGGAGAAATCAGTTAATGGAGAATGTTTCTGGAAACTTATTGATCAGAAATATGCAGCCAGTAACAACAATCTACACAGCAAAACCTACATCTTTACCTGAATTTCTCCAGTGACTGGATGGGAAGCAGACTTTGTAGTTTCAGTGGGCTGCCAGATTAAAACACATAAATAAATACATAAGTACACACTCACAAATATACACATATGCATATTGGAAATAATAGATTTTCGAAGTTAACTTTTTTAACAGATCTTGTTTTTGCTGCTGTATTGCCACTTATTTTTAAAAGCTGCTGCTTAGTTGTGTCCAGTTTGTATGCTCAAAACTAACAGTTCTGGTATTTCAACAACCCAGCCATTTTGATCGGCCTTCATGCAAGTGCAGAATCAGGCAAACTGAACACCATAGTCTCCGCAGTCTGAGCAGACTGGTCATGCAGGGAGACATGGGGAGAGAGAGACATATAGCATTAGCACTGTCTAAAAATAAGTGAATGTTGCAGAGAGAAAGCAAATACTATGTCAAGCACAACACAGCCATACTTCTGTTGAAAGGCAAAGGTTACACTAGTTCAAATGGAGTTTAGGTGAAAGTGGGTAGAAAGAGCGTAAAGAATGGTACTAAAATTGAGTGATGTGTATAAGTGGACTTCACAGTTGCAAGCCTTCTCATGTAATATTTTTTGCTTTATTCTGTGTTTTCTGATAATCAGTTCATCTACACCACTTCATCTTTAAATTCCTCCACACATTTTCATGATATGAAATTTAAATTTTCTGTCCCCCCCTTCATGATGCTGTATAATCTTGCCTGTTTCTCTCTGTTCTCTATTGCTGAGCTTTTCTAGGCTGCTGACAAAGGCAATAAAATCCTCAGTGTCTTTTTTTTTCTCTTTTTTCTTCCTTTGTGTTTGTTGGTAGTTGGAAAATGATACCACCATTTGCTTTAAAACTGGACTCTCAAAAATATGCTGGTTTGTTAAATGATGGTGCCCTTGAGCCACCCTGGACATACCTCTAATCTGCAAGCCATCAGTCAAGCAAGAAAGCTCTCTCTGGTTCAGTAGCAGGATTTGAATATTTTTTGCATTCTCTCCACATCTGCTTCCTTGGTTGATGCAGCAGAAAACAAAGGCTGCAAACAAGGACACCCTCACTGTTCTCGGAAGACTGATCTAGAAAGCGTCTTTTCCTATTTCTCCAGATGTGACCAGCAGCCTGATATATTATTCTGTGTAATTAGGATTTCTTTCACTTCCTGAGAAGAGTAAAACTCATCTGCTTCTTTTGTGCTGCTTTATGTTCCATAAATATCCTTAGAGATTTTCTCAGGATTTTGGATATGAATTGTTTTAAATTAGGCCAATGCAGAGCCTATGTCTCCCTGACCAGAGCGTGAAGTTAAGGTGATGCGCTACCTTTTTCGTGTTTGTGGTGAAGAAACATCCCCTTAATCACTCAGGTCTGAAGACCAGAACTAACCAGAAAAATCCCAGCCAAACACTAGTACAACAGAAAACAAGGGAGAGAAACAGCCCAAACCTGCATGTTACATAGTTGTATTCACTGTCTTGTGTTGCCTTATTTTTGTTTTACATGCTTTACCTGGCCTTCTAGATGTGTTTCTTTATGAAAATATGCTTTTTCAGAAAATATTGTGTTGATTTTTCTGGAAATGCATGTACCTTTCAAAAATAATTTTTAAATTGGCTTTTCTTGGTATCTTACAAAGCTTTTGAAGAAGTGTAATCACTCTAACAGCTAAAAAAGACCATCAACAGTTTACAAAATGTTCTGAATCTTAAATGGTATTTTAGATTGACAGCAAAGTTCTCCTAAAACTTGTTTGGTCCTTGAAAGCAGAATTTCAAAAAGAGAATTTCACTCCTTTTGCCAAAGACAGAGACCTACCTGAGCATCATGCAAAAATTCAAAGTAGGGCTTAAAAGGATTACATTTGTTGTACTTTATCTCTACAAATGGATTTTAGCATACTTTAGTAGTTCTGACACCAGTCTGTACTAGCACTGACAGTACTGACAATGCTACAAAATAACACTGAGTTAGCTGTGCCAGGGCTGCGAAATCACTGCTGGATACTCTAAGTGGTCTAATTTTTCAGAAGTTTGAATAGCAAAAATAATAAGTTTGTCCACCCCAAATATCATGTAAAACAGAATGTACTAGTATGAATACGGTAGAGTGAGTTCAGAGAAAAGGGATGTGATTCAGGATATTAGATATTTTGTTTTCTCTCTGATGTCAGCAGATTTAAACCTGACCATGAAGGACTACCCAAATATTTCAAAGAAACTTGAATAATTTAGTCTGAAGAGACCTCTCAAGGTCATCTGATCCAACCACCAGCTCAGAGTTGGGCCAGCTTTGAAGCTGGATCTGGATTGAAAGACAGAGATGAAAATAAGTATCTTTCTTTATCAGAAGCTCAGTGAGGTTTAATTTGAGAAGTAGGAAAAGCATTTCACTGCTGTCTTCTTTAGGAGCTAAAGTATCAGAGGATTTAGAAAAACAACTCATTCTTCAAGTTACAAAGACAATTAAATGTTTCTATAGTGCATTTACATCCTGGATGTAATCTGCACCACAGAATGATTATGCATCTACATTACAAAAGAAACAGGTCTGCACAGGATAGAGTCAGCTCAAGGCTCCCAAAGGTTAAATCTCTCCTGTGATGGCCAATCTAATTTCATTCTAATTTTGATACTCCCTGCATGCACTCACAGACCGTGTGTGCTTTGTAATGCCATCACACCTGCTGGAGAACTTACCATGATTTGAACCCTGTTAATGCCAGGCTCTGATGCTATGAACTATCTGTATTAACAGGACATACATTAAATATGACAGAATCAGAACTGCAAAATATCAAAGAGATTCTTACAAAATTTCTGGTGTATATATTCTATACAAAAAGCTTAAAAATAAAAAAAAGTCTTACTAGCTGAAAATAAGTACAGTAACAAAAACAAGGTCTAGGCAGTTTGGATATTTAGTCTGTCATGATACTTTGGCAAGGCTGCAGCTGCCTAGAAATGCTGTCAGCCCAAGGCAGAGAGCCGTTCCAGAAGGGATGAGCAGTAGCTTTTTCTTCTAAGAGAGCTCAGCACCATTATAAACTTGGCCTGCAGTCAATGACCAGAAACAATACAAGTCAACAAGAGCTACGTCTGTGATGAAAGAAATGCCTTGCAATGTGATTTTCAGAAATAAGGAAAGAATGTTTTAAATATTTACCTGATTAGTTTTGACTTTTGCATCCCCTACATAAAGGCATTATTTTTAATATTTTTTTGTTTCATCCTTATAAGCCTCCAGCTGAATTTTCATAAAAGATTACTAAATTCTCTGTGAAGAAGAAAATGAAATTTATGCATCTAACTTTAGGTGTCCTGCTACAGAGCCAAAGCTGGGAACCCAGTCTTCTCATGTGAGCAGGGAGAAGCACCTCTCCAGGATACACTGCACATCGAGGATTTATAGGTCTCCGTACACTGTGCAGTGAATTTCGGACTGTGATTCATCTTGTCACCGAAATCGGGAATAAAATTTCTTAACGCCAATGTAGCATTAAAAAACAGGCTTTTTTTATTACAGTGCCGGATGCATGGGTGATCGCTTCTCCTAACTCGCATGCCATATGTTGCCTCACCCCAAGCTTATATAACTCTCTTACATGCATGTGCATGAAGTTTTTGCCGGAATGTTCATACATATTTATTCTGTCTCCTGGAACTAATTATCTTATTTGCATGTGGCCTGGGTCTCTGTGGGGCTTCCATGGGGTCCTCGATGGTCTCTGGTGGCCGTAGAAGTGGTACTTCTTAGTGTCCTTTCCATGAATTCTGAGTCTTTCCTCCGACATATGGTCATGAGTCGGCTCACTGAGAAGTTTGTGCATTTCTCAGGATCTCGGTGTCTGCTGATTTATCTGCACTTCTTTAGGATGTGCTTGTTACGTGTCCTTTGGTGCATTCCTAGGCCTCTGATAGTCAGTCCTTTGTTTTTTTCTTAATCTTCGTGAAATTCCCCATCATTCCTGTACAACACGTACCCCTCCCATACAACACTCCATGCACCGTGTTTTACAACAGTCTACCCAAATGAAAGGGGTTTCCATGTAGACAGTGACATCTGCACTGAGCCCTGCCCTCTCCTTTCTGTGCAGTGCCTGCACTTCAATGGCGGGTTTCATCCAGCCTCAGGAATTGTACTTCAGAAGTGCACTATTCTCACTGATAAACATAAAGCACATGGCAAACTAGTTCGTAGGTAGACGTATATAATATCTAGAGTAAGGTGTTGTGAAACCAACTCTTCACCTGATGATTAGGCAGTTCTGCCAGATCCCTGAAGTTAGCTTGCAGTAAATTTCGACCCATGGATTTAACTTACACATCAGAGACCTGAATTCGTTAATAAAAAGTCCATGGGAACTGTGGCAAGACAGAATTAATATCCAAAAAAACCCCTGATCATTAAACATATTTACAGTTTTCGCTAAATTGCTGGATGAAAGAGATTTTTGTGTTTCCCTTCATAGGAAAGTTATGCAAGCGTATTGAAGAGCTATCTGAAATGAGCCAGCACCATTTGCTGGTTTCTTTTGTACAGTACCTAACTTCTTTGTAGTTCAAAACACAGTTCAACAGCAAATACACAAACACAAACATATCAATAATGCAGTAGGAACTTGACAGTCCCAAGAAGGAACAAAGATACAGAGAAATAAATACCTAGAAATCAGGCAGTTTTGTAATGTGAAGCTTTACTTCCAATAGTAAGACAATGAGAAGCTGAGTATTCAGGATAGAAATCAGCTTTAGCTGTCCTTCAAATTGCTTGAGCAAATGCGGTCTTCACAGGATTGTTTTCCACTTCAAGTGTTAACTTTTTTGACACAAAATGCAAAAATGTGACAGATGACTTTAGGAGCTAGTTTTCAGTTTCAGCTGTGAAAAAATGCCACTAAATTCCCACTCGGCCCTTTCCAGGTGTGCAGGTGGGTGCACAAGGATAAAGAAGGTCATCTGAGAAATGGACTGAATGTGGCAAAGAAAATGAGAAATTATGCTTAACAAGTTCACAGGAATTAGCTAGTGACCAAACACATTTTGATGGTACATATATTTTTTATTTTTTCCTTGGCTTTCAGAGAAATTAATAATTATTCACAGCTTGCAACACTTCAAACAGTAGCTTAGTACAGAGGGGGAAATTATGGTGTCAGTAATATCAGCTGCTTCTGTGGAACTAGTACCTCACCATCATGTAGGAAGCACTTAAAAAGCAACAGCAAAAAACAGTGAAAAGGGTAATTATTTTTTTTAAATATTAAGTTCAAGAAACCTATTTTCAGAGAGGGCCCAATCTTTTACGACCTTGGAGAAATCACATAATCTCCTTTCCTTGTGTCCAAATTCTATATCTGAACAGCAATATTCATCACTGTCACAGAAATGAATTCATCAATATATGCTGTGATTTCTTGCTACACTAAAGAAGATAAATAGGCAATTTCATCTTGTCAGCAAAATGTTATTGCCACATAACTGAGAAGTTTCTTACCTTGCTGCTGTGCCGCTTTTTGCTCACTGAAGGAGAACCAGGCTGACCAGGGCTGGGAGCAGCACTGGAGGTGGCAGAAGTGGTTCCAGAGTGAACATGAGATCCCTTTTCCACTCCTGAGGAAGCAACCAGAGGCGACTGCTGTAGTGAAACCTTTTGGAGCTCTGCAGCCAGCTGCTTGGGATCAACCCCTGGGGACTTCGCTTTATCTACTGGATTAAAGTAAGAGAGCTTTGTGTTGATAATTGCTAGGACATTCAAATCCGTCTTGCTGTGGTACAGGGATAGGATAATAATCTTCAGAAATTTTCATATTGTCTGCTTGTATACTGTGAAGATGCAAAACACAACCTGTAAAAAATAGACATCTCCCCCACAATATCAACATCCCAATTAAAATCTTTATACTACACACTCTGTCAACCTGTGTTACTCATCTCACAAGTTTTCTGAGAAGATTATTCTCTAGTTGAAGAAAAATAGGCCTTGCTGATGATGTTGAACCATATCAGAGCAAATTACAGTTTTAAATACTGGCCTGTGCAAACTTTCACTGTTTGGAACGGGTGCAGTTTCACCAAGTATCTGGAATTTGTTGTAACAAGCTTTAATATCAACATTTTTTTTTTAATCAACTGGACATTCAATAAAACTGAATTCTGCTGCTGAGATAATTTATACAAAAAATAAAGAGAAAAGGGGCTCAAAACTTTAGCACTGCAGATAAATCAAAGCAAAATAAAATGCAAATGAAGAGTAAAAGCCCCGATTCGTCTTTCCTTATTACATACACCTATGTGAGGCATCTGTGGTAGGGGTCTGATTGCCCTCCCTGCTACCCGGGAATAAGTGGGGAGAAATTACCCTTTGTAGATGGCAATCTCCTTTTAACAGAAAAATGAGGTCAGGTAAGCTTCATAAGTGCCTTAAAGCATGTAGTGTTAAAAGAATACCAGGCTCAGCTTGCTTCCCAGGTTCTCAGAAGTATGAGAAGTTTTAGGCAATATGTTAGCCTTATCCTACCTGCTAGGCTGTGGGGTTTTTTTCTTTTTTTCTAGAGGGAATGGAGATTGTTCCTTTCCAAAGCACAGACAGTCTGCAAAACCTCAGAGGTAATGGCAAGAAAGACTTGGCTTGGCAGTCAGTAGGGACTCTACAGAGTTGTTCCAGATCAGAAGCCACTAGAAGATTGCTAGACTAGGATGAAGCATGCCTGAAGGAATGGGACAATTTACTTACCTGTCTGTTCTTTCTCATTTTGAGTTTTCTCCATTAATACAAAGTGTTATGTATTCTAGCTTCTATTCTTTCAAAAGACAATTTCAGTATCTATGAATGCCTTTGGTGTTTCTGATCTGATGACTAAGAAAAAAATTGTGGGTTGCTCTGCCCCAAAGCTCTGTCAGACTCATTGTTTGCCTTCAGTTAATACCAATAACATCCATTTTCCACAGAAGGTACCTCGATGGTAAGTATATTAACAGATGGCAAGAGTTACATGGTCAGAAAATGGAGGATTTAATCCTGGTAACTTGTGCACTGACTGATAAAAAAGCAACCACACAACCACAGAACTCGGAATGAACCCCTGAGAACCTGTGTAATACAGTCTTTCAATCTACACTGAGCTTGCTGAAGGGCTACATTACTAGTAAGATTGTGGATGTTGGTTCAAAGTCAGATTAGATACCACTAATACCATGATTAGAGTCTGCAGTCATGGTATTGATTGACTAGACAGGAATCTCCCCAAAAGCACTGCCATCTTAGAAGTCATGTAAACAAACTTCACACAAAGTACTTCCTGTTGCAGCCTTGTATCCTAGTATTTTCATCACTAATATCAGGCCACAAACCTTGTATTAAGCTAACATAGGTCTTACGACTTGGTGTGTGTTGTTTGGATCTGCTCCAGTTTGCTAGGAGCTTTGTTTTAGATTGTCTGGCTGCAACAGCAATTGTCTAATGACCAGATGGCTATGATCTTAACTTCTCTGAGTTATGCTTCACCTCGTATAACTGTATGGTATAATGCCCATTCTCAATATTTTTGATGTAAAAAGGCACAACTGTAATTGCACTGTGTACACTGAAGTACTTCTGCCTCCAGTGTAATAATGCAGCTCACAGGAACGTGGGCCAAGGTTGACAGCAGAATGCTACTAGCTTTGGCCCCAGGGCTACCAGCAACTCTCTGGGCAGTCCCTGACAGGAATGCAAACTCAGGAGCTGGGCAAAAGCAGTTTTAGGGGATCAGAAGGAAAAAAGCACAGGAACATATCACACACATTGTGTATGATATCCTGTCAAGTCATCTGTAATGCAGAGCTGCTGACTGGTGAGACAGATCCTGAAGCAAAGAGGAAGGAATCATCATCATCCACCTGCCAGCAAGGAGGAGTCAAAAACTTTCACCAGAAACATCACACTTCTCCCAGAAAGTTCCTCATGACACAGTCCACTTGCTGCAGTGCCCTCAGAGTGAAAGCCCTGCCCACAGGGCTCAAAGAAGCTGCTGAAGGGGGACCATTAAGCTACAATTATCTGTGGCATATATAGATGAAGGGGTAGCTAGCAGGAAGTTTTCCTTCCATAACAAATGTTAGCTGCAGTATTGTTTGTGAGATTTACTGTATTAATTAGATAGTGTTGACCGTGCCAGTAAGGATCGAACTGGGCTAATAATAATAGCCAACAATAAGTGTTTGGCTTTGTATATAAGATGTGGTCCCCTTTCTGCCCACGGCAAGATTTGGGATATAACATCTGAGCTTACAATGCTAATGTCCTAGCTTATCTCACATCCAGTTTTCGGCTGCTACCCGGTACTACAATATCAAAGCAACAGTTTGTGGCTCACCTGCCCTTACTGGCTCGTGCAGCTCCAGGTGCTGGGGATTCTCAGAGTCTGAGAGCATGTTCAGGTCCCTAAAGAAAGCAACAAGAAGCCTGAGACAAAATAAACTCTTTCCTCACACTCTTATTATTGTATTAAGTAGATAAATGAGTAGTGGTTCATGACAGAAAGCAGCTCCCAAGCATGGCCCCTTGTTAGCTGATACATATTTGCAATGTTGTTAAAGAGCTGAGAAGAAAAGGTTCTTTTAAGGTGAAATCTTTAATGTATTGAATGCAAGTTTATACATTTCTCATGATGGCTAAATTACTGTCATCTAAAGGATACAAATTTCAATAAAAGTCCAGTTAGTGCTAAACTACGATCTTTTTCTAACCACAGTAAATTCAGTGAATTGTATGTGTATCAATGAGAGGAGATTGTGGCCTGACAACAGAGATATCATTGTTTCTAAAAGTATAATTACTAACATCTGCCTCAGCTTATCTTTCCTTATGGCTTAGAAAGAAAGAAAGAACAAACAGACCTCCCACACTCAGTGAACTCTTGCTAAATATTACATTGCTGCTTCGTGCTCACAAAGGTTCCACCTTAACAACTATAACTTTCAAAAAAAAAAAAAAAAAAGCCATGAAAAGCCAAAAAAATGGAAACAGAAAGATGGGGAAAAACTCACAGTCTTACACATATTTCTGCTTCCCCACTCTGTTGAACAATAATGCTCTGGACTTCTTCGTAAGTTTTCCCAGTCAAGGGGATGCCATTCCATTCCAGCACCTGCATTCCTAAGAAAGCAAACCAGCATGAGGTGAAGTGCTCAGATTTTGACAAGGACGTCAGATAGACTGCTTTGACAAGAAGATTTGATGTGACATTCTGTGCATGTTTCTTAAATAGCACAACGCATTAACAAATCCCTTCCACTTCACACAGATTAGACTGCTGAATGTTATTGTTCCATCAGCTATAACTTACCTGTTAAAACAAGTTAATTCCTTGCTGATTCAAACCATACACACACTCTCAACAGTCTGGGGTGAAAGATATTGAAAAACTTTTTCAATATCAAAAACATGCACACCTACCAACACGGCAAAAAACCAAAACATTTTCTATATCAGGCATTTCTTGGTCAGTCATGGTCTTGGAAGAAAATTGTTCCCTACAGCAGCACATTGCTGTTAAGAAGATGAGCCTCAAAATGGGACTAAATTTATGAATGTGATTTAGTAATTGAAATACAGTTTTTCTACTTTGTCACTTAAAAAAATAAAAGATGAAGGTAGTTGGGCTGACTGATTTTAAATGAAAAATGTACCTCCACATTTCAAGCATCCACCTGGAAATATTCAGGTTCAAAATTTACTTCTGTATCTTTTCTTATAGAAAAGTGATAAAATGACAAAACAGCTGAATATAATTCTTTGTGGAAGATAGGAGCAGATCTGTGATAAACAGGCTGAAAAATACTGAATGTTGATCTAACCTGCTGCATCTTCCAAGTGTCCCAGGAGTGAGCCAGGGGGCTTGATATGGAGCAAGTTATCACTATAAGGAATTAATATGCTCAGTATTTCCGGAGTCAGTCCCTCTATAAGTCATGTGAGGTGTAGTCTGATAAGATGAGAAATCTATTGGTTATAGAAAAATTCTTACAAAAAGCAAACTGTAGTTTCATATCTGAGAGTTGCAACTCAGGTTCTGAGAGCTGAGTTCATATTTTGGAGGAGTTAGTCATAACAATGATTCGAAAGAGATTAACTTCTCGCTAATGTACAAATGTCAAAATCCAAGCCTCAGGCTCTAGAACAAAAATTTCTTAATGGGACAAGTTACTGAATTCTTAATAGTCCACTAAAAGCGATGTATTACAAAACATCTGAAAACCACATCATCCACACAGCAAGGAAAACCACAAACACTTAGCTTTCTACCACTTACACAGATAAAACCACGTCTTCACCTGGGTCACATTTGTATCTCAAAATCCTGTGCTGTTGAATATAACAAATGGGAAAAATAATGAAGTGAAATGTGGAGATAAACTCATAGGAAAACATACTGCTAAATAAAGTACAACAAAAATTGTTCATGGCATAAACCAGATGAAATTATTTGACAATGAAAGGATATGAGAAATAAAGACCCTAACTTTATATTACAAAATTTTCCATAGTATTCCATGAATTAGGATTTGAAATATCATATTTCCTTGTAACGTCTCTCAGTAAGAATTTATCATTTTGTTTGCAGCACATTACAGAAATACAAACTGTGAGAATGACTAAAAAGTGAAGCTCAGAAGGCAGTAAAGCCAGCTGCTTACTGCCAAAATAGATTTGTCTTTTCCTGAAATTTAGCCCCTTTCATCTACTAGCCATCATTCAAAAGCATGATCTTGCTTTTGCTTGTTAGAGCAGATCTAGTTCAAGCTCAGTTCCTCTGGAATAAAGCAACAGTAATTACGAATAAATGCAGCTGCCCCCTGATTTTTTGCCATACAAATATAATGGTGTACACTCTGTCTTTAGAAGCCTTCTAGAAAGGAAGGAACTGAAGTTATTTTTGTTTTCTTGTCAATGTGTGCCCTCCTAATGCTACCGTGGCATAGGATGTTGAGTGTGGCAGTATGAAACTCGAGTAAGACAAGCCACCACTTCTATGTATTAGCAATGAACAAGAATAAAACAGGGAAGCTGTAGATATTTGAGAAAGTGGTTAACATCCTTTTATTAAAAAAGAGCTTTGTTGACAAAATGCATCCAGCTACCTAGGTTTATCACACTCTGCTTGCGTGGCTTCAGAACATCAGGGAAGCCATAAGGCTATCATCAACAATATGCTTTAATCTAAAAGACCAGAAGGAAAAGCCCATCTGAGTGCCACTGCACTGCTGTGATTTGGAATTCAAGTCTCATTTCCACTGGTGGCAATTTCACCACTGAGTGTAGTGGCAGCGCAGTCACTCACTTGGTCAGTAAGACCAAGCACATATAAACAAAGCAGCAAACCGAAAGGAAACTGAATCTCAACAGCCTTGGCTTACACAGTGATCCATTTCACGCTGTCAGTAAAGAGGTATATTCTTTTTATTGGCTGCCTTGTGGAGTCATGAATGTTTAAAAACAAAGCAATGTAAACATGACTTCACTGATCTGACTGATATACCTGAGGTCTAAGGAAAAAGTTTTTAGGCAAGAAGTTGTTTTTTTTTTTTTTCTTAAGGAGTAATTCCTAAATAACTTTTGCTGGAAAAAAATAATGTTACAAAGAAAATCTTTAGGAGGAATGTGAGACTAATCAACAAAAAAAGAAAAAATTTACTGAGAAGTCAGAGGAGACTGGTGATAATAAAGTTTATTCTTTAAAAACCAATCACATTCTGTAACTGAACTTTGGTAGTCAGGACATGTTATTCACATTTCCAAAACTTTGTATGCTTCAAACCATCAGTTTAGCAGACAAAAAAACAAAGAGGAAGATGAGAAAACTTGCATTGCTCCATGAGATCTCTGCTGAGGAAGAGCTAGTAAATGCCCTGATAATTGAATCCATTTATTTTCAGCAGTATCAGCTCCCACAGTCAGCAGACCAGCTTTATACATCAAGCCCTCCTCCCTGTTCCACTAAGTGTGCTGACACACATGATTTTCTGTCTTTCTGGTGTCTACTTTATGGTGACACTGAGAACCTGGAATCAGAAGTTGTTGATCATTTTCCACTGATTACATAATTATTATTCCAGAAAGGGCAACTCACATATTTGTAACTGTCATGGAGACATCAACATTTAGCTCGATTAATACCATCCTTTCCCTTCTGAAAACATGCTACAGTCATACTATATCAAAAGAGATAAAGAAGCCTATTGTGTTCATATATTCTTCCATATGCATCTGTTACTGGCCACAGTCAGAGACGTTATCAAAACCTAAATGCACCTTTCCTCTGGCACAGAATAGCTATTGTGTTCTTCTTTATAACTACCAAATGAATATCTCAAAGTCACCTATATTTTTCATAGTTGCTGCTTTCAAGGCTTAAACAAAGAGCTTGCTCCCGGGGTCAGCGGTTGTGCTGCAGAAGTGTGGCAGGGTCGAATTTCACAAAAACCCCCACAGGAAGGAGTGGGTGGAATTTTGTTGTATGGTATTATATTGCCATACTTAATACATACATCTTACTGCTGTTCAAGATTGCCAGGCTCATTTTAGCAACCAGTGAAGTGTTAACTTCTGTTACTTATATTTAGGCATAAGTAGGCCAATTATCTGTAACTGATAAAAATAAAACCTGAAAACTGCAGAACTGATTTCCTTTTTCTGACATTTTGACTAGTCATTTAACAGCTTGTGAAACGGAAGCTAAATACTCACGAAACTTGAAATCTGCTTTTAAGAGTGTTAGATATTGGCTGTACAATAGTGAAACTTTACTCTGTATTTATGCACATGAGGAGTGACAAAGAGTTCAGAAATTTTGTAGAAAAGACAGCTTCCCTCAAATGCCAGTAATAGGAGTGATTCAGAGCCACCACCTTGGACTGTTCATACTATCATGTTTTCATATTCAGTTTTCAGGAGAAACACATGCTGCAGGAGAATACCAGATAAATGGCTACTTTTTCTCTGAAGTGAATTTCATACCAGGGAAGCTGTTAGACTTGAAAGCTTAAATGATTTATTTATCCACAGAAACAAGATAGCAAAGTTGCAAATGTCCTATGCTGGCACTTCAGAATATCTCATCTTAGACCCAGAAGAGCTACTTCTAGCTTCCTTCTCTGTAACTGGTGAGTCCTTGGCTTTGCATTAAGATCTTGAACAATGCTATTTTCATTTACTCCATGGAATCACGAATTTATCAATTATTTAGACACCATGACTTCACATAGAGCTGGTTGGAGATGGGTTTATTCCTTTATGCTGCAGCCTTGAGAGAGAAGATGACTATACTGTATGAAGAAACATCCGAAAGAAGGCAACACATAGCGAAATAACTAAAGTGTTTATGATGTCTCTGGGAGCTGTGCACGGCCTGGATTTCGAAGGGCTATAGCATCTGTTCCCACTTCTATCCTAGACATGCTTGTAGAATTTCTTTTTTAATGTCTGCTTCCTTTATAGTATAACATTCCTATTGATAAAAAAGCACAAAACAGATCATAAAATATGCAGACTGAATAGGTCTTGGTATTAGAGTTTCTAACTGTCAACTGCCAGACACATTATATATCTCAGTTCCCACCCATCTTCTGTTATTTTCCACATTTTCTGTCCTCTTCAGATTCATCTTTAGGACACGAGCTGGTTGCATGATCAAAGTTGCAATTGAAAGGAATCTGAAAAGTATCAAAGGATTTTATTTCTCTGAATACGAATCCCAGCATAGCTGCCTCAAACACAGAAATATTAAACTGAGCCATTGAACGTCTCTTGAATTTTATTCCAATCTGTAGCAAAATGTACACTATTATAAAGTCAATCTTAGTCATTATGCATACACTGTTATACTGCAGTCTCCTATTCAGTGTAGCCAACGTGCCTGAGAAGTGGTAGAACTGTTGTTAGCTGTGTTACAAAGAGTTTGTAATTACTTCTAAAATATCAGATTACACATGTATAATTTTTTTTTCCAGTTTTTAGGTTCTCAGAGACGATCTCCTACAGGAATTTTAAAAGATCTAGACATTATGATATTAGAATAGAGCCTCTGGTTTTGGTTACACCATAGTTATACACACAGATTTCTGGGGTTTATTCTCTGCTTATTCATAGTTCGCTTT